CATCAGCTGATCAGTATGAAAGCAGCCTCAGAACAGTAAGGGTTCATTACATTTGCATTTCGGAGGGTGGCAAAACCTCACAGTTAAGACATGTCTTTACTACCCTCGTCCCAACCGCACCCCTTTTAGCTGCAAGCGGCCAGGGGTGTACACATTTTTTGAAGTTGCAGCAGGAGGTATATGCCATGTCATGGTTGGTGGGTGTAGCACTTGCCAAGCTTGGCCCATTCAAGTGAATGAGGCCACTCTGCAAGTGCCCTAAAATGTGAAAAAAATGTAGCGCTAATCGCTAAAAGAAGAATCAAAATAGAGCAATGTGCAACTAGGTCCCCCCAATTTTACTCGAATAGCCTCGTGCTTATAAATACACAAAAAACAAACTCCTATAGTGATGGTGGAAGAAACAGTCCTATTGACTAATAACAGTGCGTGTTTTGACAAATATACATAGACACACAGAGTGCACTTAATATATGTATATATTATATATATATATATATATATATATATATATATATATATATATATACACACACCTACACAGATCTCATAAAGTGAATAAAAACAATCTCATGTGCAAATGTGAACTCAAATTAGTGCAATAAATATACACACAATAATCTATTTTCATGCGTTTTTTAAAGTCCAACTTTCAATAATCATACTCCAGTGAACAAAATAACTCGTGCTGATATCCGTGTGAAAAACGTGGGTTAATAGCTGTATAAAAAATCATCCGATCACCGGCTGAATTAGCCTCTCACCTTACAGACTCGACCCTTGTGAGTCAAAACGTTTTTAAAGGATCCCTCTCACAGATCCTCCAGGTTAGTATCACTCCAAACGACAGCTCCCAATATGTACAGATCTCCCTCTAGGGATCAGGACTCCAATAATAGCTCCTTCTCCAGGCAGGATCACATATTGCGCTAACCACTCACATGTAACATAAACACAAAACTCCCATAGCGTAATATGTTTATTGCCAAAGTGTGGTAAAATAGAATGTGCACTTACATCAGATTTAGTAGAAATCAAGGCTCCCACCACATGGATGTCATCTGCATGGGTGTACAGGGTACAAAAAGGTGTACCAAGATGGCCGCCACGCCGGAAGTATGTCACTATGTCGGGCCGACGCATTGCGTCACAGTACCATGTGACTTCCTCAGGTTATTGAGTGTATATTTATTGCACTAATTTGAGTTCACATTTGTGCATGAGGTTGTTTTTATTCACTTTATGAGATCTGTGTAGGTGTGTGTATATATATATATATATACATATATTAAGTGCACTCTGTGTGTCTATGTATATTTGTCAAAACACGCACTGTTATTAGTCAATAGGACTGTTTCTTCCACCATCACTATAGGAGTTTGTTTTTTGTGTGTTTATAAGCACGAGGCTATTCGAGTAAAATTGGGGGGACCTAGTTGCACATTGCTCTATTTTGATTCTTCTTTTAGCGATTAGCGCTACATTTTTTTCACATTTTAGTTTTGAGGATCATTGGATATATGATTTAATGTTGGCAGCTTTTTGCTTTTAATATTATTTTTAATATCATTGTGAGCGCAGGAGGTTCACACCACCTCTGCAAGTGCCCTGCAACCTTGTGAAATACAGCAAACAAGGGGTTAAAACAGGCAGCGGTGTGTTGCTTTCTCACCATCTGCTTTAACCTCCTGGACCCTGCAGAAGCATGCAGTTGTGGGGCACTTGCAGAGTGGCCCCATGTACTTGAATGGGTCACAATTGATAGGCGGTAGCACCCACCAAAAGCAACAGGGGATGTAATTTCCGCTGCGGCATGTGTACACCTTTGGCTGCTGCTTCAGCAGCTAAAGAGGGTTGGGATTGGGGGGGGCGGTAATAGTGCAACACTGTGCCCGGGGTTCTTTGAGGGTTGTTCCCTCTTTAAGGTTGCCTACCCCTGAGTTATGCTGATTGGAAAGTTATAGGTCTAACTCAGCAGGGGGCCTGTTAGACCTCGGCAGAGAGATCACTGCTTCCACACAAAAAAGCAAAGATCCTACTCTGTAGCATACTGGCAGGGGACAGGCTTTTCTATTTAGCTGGTGGCTACCTTCTAATGAAATTGAACTGTAAGACTTTATACCTCTTTTTTTTTTTTTATGCACAGCACAGCCATCCAGAGCAGTGTGATTACAGTGAAGCACACAGACACAGCCCCCTAGTAAAACAATCCCACAGTTAACCCTTTGATCGCCTCTCATGTTAACCCCTTCCTGTCCAGTGCCATTAGTACAGTGTCAGTGCTTTTTTTTTAGCGCTGATCATTGTATTGGTGTCACTGGGGGATGTCAGTGACACCAAGTGAGTTCGCCCCAGTGTCAGAATGTCCGCCGCAGTCCTGCAGTCCCACTATAAGTAGCTGATCGCTGCCATTACTAGAAAAATAATTTTAAAAAATCACAGTATATATACCACAATTTGATGCTATAACTTTCATGTAAACCAATTAATTTACACGTATTGGGATATTTTTTTGCAAAGACATGTCGCAGAATACATTTTGGTGGAAATTTAAGATGAAATTTTATTTTTTAAATTTTTTTACTGGACATGTTTAATAGCAAAAAGTCACAAATATAGTTTCTTTTCTCAAAACTGTCAGTCTTTTTTTTTTTATAGTGCAAAAAAAAATAAATGCATAGGCAATCAAATACCACCGAAAGAAAGCTCAATTCATGGGAAAAAGTGACATAAATGTCATTTGGGTGCAGTGTTGCATGACCGTGCAATTGTCAGTTAAAGTAACGCAGCGCCATAACAAAAAATGGCCTGGAAGGGGGGTAAATCATCAGGAAGGCAAGGGGTTAACCACTTGACCTCCAGAGGATTTACCCCCCTTAATGACCAGGCCTCTTTTTGCTACTCGGCGCTGCACTAATTCAACTGATAATTGCGCGGTCATACAATGCTGCACCCAAACGAAATTTACATCCTTTTTTTCACACAAATAGAGCTTTCTTTCTGTGGTATTTGATCACCTGTGCGCTTTTTATTTTTCACGCTATAAACAAAAAAAGGCCAAAAATTTTGAAGAAAAACAATATTTTTTAATTTCTGCTATAAAAAAATATACAGTAAACTCAAAGTTGGTTATAAATTTAGGCCAAAATGTATTCTGCTACATGTTTTTGGTAAAAAAAAATCCCAATAAGTGTATATTGATTGCTTTGTGTGAAAATTATAGCGTCTACAAACTATGGTATAGATACTGCAATTTACGCGCCATTTTTCTGCTACAGCGCTGCGCTAGTTTACAAGTCGCTGCGCTGAGTATTTGATAACGGACAATTGCTAGCGGACAATTGCGCGGTCATGCAATACGGTACATAAATGAAATTTACATCCTTTTTTTTTCCCACAAATTGAGCTTTCTTTCGGTGGTATTTGATCGCCTGTGCGGTTTTTATTTTTTTGCGCTATAAAAAAAAAGGCTGACAATTTTGAGGAAAAAAAACAATATTTTGGACTTTTTGCTATAAAACATGTCAAGTAAAAAAAAATTTAAAAATCAATTTCTGCCAAAATGCATTCTGCGACATGTCTTTGCTAAAAAAAAAAAAAAACCAATACGTGTAAATCAATTGGTTTACGTGAAAGTTATAGCGTTTACAAATGGCGGGAAAGATACTGGAATTTTTAGTTTTTTTTTTATACTAATAATGGCGGCGATCAGCAACTTATGGCGGCAATCAGCGACTTATGGCGGGACTGCGGCGGACATTCTGACATTGGGGGGTACTGACTTAGGGTCACTGACCTCCCCAGTGACACCAATACAGTGATCAGTGCAGAAAAAAAAACACTGACACTACTAATGGCACTGGGGAGGAAGGGGTTAAGTTTATTTTTCAGGGAAGGGTTAACTGTGTGAGGGGGAGTGTTTTACTAGGGGGCGGGGGTGTGTACTGCAGGGAACACCGCTGATCGGGAGAGAGAAACTCTTCTGTCCCGATCAACTTGTCCTGGAGCTGTCAGGGAACTGACAGAAAGCACAGCTACTGCAGCTGTGCTCTCTGTCAGCGATTGCCGCCGATCGCCGGGATACAGCCGGTAACGACCGGGTGTGTGACCCGGCGACTGACATCCGCGGCTGTGATCGGCGGGACAGGTAGGGCCTCGCGCGCGCCCCCTACCTTTTTACAAAACACACATTTTAAAACGTGGTTTTGCCCAGCCGTGCCGCCCTGCTGCCGTATTTATACAGTGACTGGGCGGCATGTGGTTAAAGTATAATTCCGGACTTTTACTAAATAGTCTTAGAAATGCTCTCTCCCCTTCCTAACACCTTTACTAGCTAACTTGTATTAAAAAAGATGTCTATTTTTCCTATTTTCAGGTTGCTCAGGTCCGGTCATGTGATCAGCTCCCTTGTGTCAGGCAGCAGCTGATGCAGGGATCAGAAGGTGGAAATAGTGACTCCTAAATGCCTGTCAACCTCTGCTTTATCCACTACTACTGCATTGCTTTTCAGATGGTGGTAATCTTACCTTCTGTTCTGTATGAAAGAACCCTAAGGCACCGAGATCCTAGTGAGGAAAGACAAAACAGAGGGCGCACTCACTCAGTGAGTACAACACCTACTTTATTTTTTATTAAACATTTTTTATGGTAATGCACTAGGCCTGTGCGCCCTCTGTTTTGTCTTTCCTCATTCAGTATATTTGGATTCCCCTGGTCCATTTGAGGGCAGCAAGGTGTGCATGTTCCAGGGCATTCTTAATGTGGTTGTAGCCTGCATCGAGTCCATCCCCAAGCGCAGGAGCATTTGTGTTTACCGAGATCCTAGTGCTAGAAGATCCTGATTTGTTATATGGGAAATGTATATAAAACCAAAACATTTTCAGTTTTTGGATAGAGTTTAGTCATTCTAAAACCCTTGTCTGTTTTTTTTTATTGCTGTATGTGTCCCCGCTGGGAAGTTTTCTCTCTTTATATTTGTCCTGGTGACCATTATTTTTGAGACATAAGGTGATGGAAAATCCCAAATTTTTAATTAGACACTGAAAAAGGAATAGATGTGAAATCTTCCAATGGGACACCTATCACAGAGGTTTTTTTCCTCATTTTGAAAGATTCCCAGGAGATACGTACCTAGCGAGGAGGTGACTGCAGAGGGCATAGTCCTTTGAGTACTAATATCCCTGGGCAGAAGACAGACTGTAGGGAAATGGCAGTTCAAGTGTACATATGCTTTCACTTGTGACTACTGCGGACCGTCCACTATATGTGATTGACTATGTACGTCAATTGGCTCTGGAATGTATGTCCTTGTGTTGTGACTGTAATGCCGTTTCCTGAACACCACCAGTAGAGAACAGTGAACCTATTTCTTGTGTGGACATTCCTTCTTCAGGATATAAAGGTCTATGGCCAGGAATATCATGAGGAGGCGTATGAAAAGGAGCAGGGTACAAGATGGCGGAGGGTTCAGCCTCAGCAGGAGGGACAGTGTTCTAGCAAGGATGGAGCTGGGGTAAGGACTCGTGCTTTGGTGCCAAAACCAGCCAACCACGAAGCCCATCTTACGTTTCAGACAAAAAGCCCTTTTTGTTTGCTATCATATAGGGAACCTCTAGAAATGTTAAGTGTATATAAACTCCAACAATGAGCTTCTCTTGTTTGCTTCCTTTTTTCAACTAAAAATACCATGGGATGTTTTTGTTTTATCTGTCTGATAAATGAATAAAAACTGTTGATTTTGCCAGAAATCTTGTGGGCAAATAACTTCTAAGGATGAACTGTAGTTCAGTCTGGAACTTGAAGGAAGTTATTAGTGCTGGACCAATCAGCTGCTGCAAGGGCATCCACCACCCTGCAGTTGCACGCACACAAAGGGACAGGGATGTTTGTGACATCAGTGACTTAATATGGCCACATGACCATGTCTGAGCATCCTCACCCCTTTCATGTATATGCAGCTGTGGGGCAGGGAATATCTTGGCCACAGTTGATTGGTCCAGCAATGATAGCTTACTTCTGGGTTCAGCTGAACATTCATCAAACCAAACGCAAGCTCATACCTGAAAAATTCCTGTGTACTCTGGTGATGGTGATGATGAGGTGGAAGGAGGGAGGAGAGGAGGTCTTCATCAGAAATTAAGTTGGCAGGGCTGACACCACATATTTATAAATTCAGAGCTCAAATTTCACTGGAAAGTAGGTAGGTAGGGAGCATTCTATTATTTTTTTTTTTGCACTTTAACAGTTATTTTTCTGTACAGTTCATTTTATGTGCCTAAGTACCCCTGTGCCTTGACCCTCATAGCTGTTTATCTGCAATGTGAGATCTAGTATTGTGCCTCTGACTACTAGTTTGATCAGATTTGGAGTAAGATCTGGTGATGTCACAACTAAGCTGCTCACTGTTCTCCTTGCTGGAGAGCAATCTGTACCTGAGGACCTGCAATACAAGGATCTCTCTCCTAATTTGTTAACATGGATCTGTATTTTCTACACAGTTCCTGTTGAGTATTCCCTCACCAATCATTAGATCCCCAATCATCAGAGAGGCAGTTCTGACACGGGGAAGCCAAGCTCTCTGCTCTATCAAGATAGCCACCTCCTCACATAGATACAAAGGTCAATTCACCAACACTTATCATATGAGATATTTGTGTTCTATACAAAATATCCCATGCAAAATGTAAACTGTCAATTCACTACTGATAAATACTGTATTTGCAGTAAGTACCACAAATGTGATATTACATGCAGCAAATACTGCAAAAAATGTGATATGACATAAAACTCAATTCACTAAAAAAAAATGTGCTTATTATCTTGTGGTTTAGCCACTCTCTGTTTAACAAATGTATCAGTTAAGAATTGAAATCTTTAGCAGCAGTGTTCCTACCTCAGCTAAATGGGATGGTTCCAGGTCAGTGATATACATCCATCGTCAATCACGTCATCCAGCGATTCAGGTCCGCGTCACTCACCATGAAGAAAAGCTGCTGACCTTCCCAAGGGAAAAAATATGGATGCCCTCCAAGACATGTCCAATTCTGTTGTCTCCTTCGTGTTGAATGACATCTCCAGGTCCCCACCACTAAAGTAACCAAAGGGGTGGGGTCACCAAGGGAAAGTCATTGAACAAATATGGACATGTCAATGATGTCATGGACCAAACTGTACTTAGATATGGTGGCTGTCTTAGTTGTCTTTTTTCAGGCCTTGTTTGCTTGTCTTAGAGCAGGCATGTCCAAAGTCCGGCCCGCGGGCCATTTACGGCCCAGGGGTCGGTTTAATATGGCCCTCCAAACAGCCCTCCCTGCTCTGTGTAATGTGGGCCTCCCACAGCCCTCCCTTCTATGGCAGACAGTCTTCTGCTTGAGAGCAGAGGGCAGCATGCGCATGCCTGACTGCGGTGCGTTCTCCCTGGTCTGTGTAAATGCGGCTGTCGCACGGCCCTCCCTTGTGTGGCAGACAGTCTTCTGCTTGAGAGCAGTGCGCATGGGTGACTGCGCCGCACTGGGAGCGACAGAGGGCGGTGACGTCAGGGCCGGGCTTCCAGCGTGAAGTGTGTTTCTCTTCCCTCCCGGCTGCCGAGCAGAGACTTCAGCTCCAGCTACCTTTTTCACCCTTCACATTAGTGCAGGTAAGTTTTTTTAAAATTTATTTTCAATACATTGTGAAAACTCAGCTGTCAGTTGATCTTAATGTTATGAAATGAAAAGTATGTTGTTTGCAATTAACTTGGCATAAAATAATTTATTTGCATTTAATTGTAATGGTTCAAAGAATGTTCGGAAAAATGTTCGGCCCTCCACCATGTTCACTTCATCCAATCTGGCCCTCTTTGAAAAAAGTTTGGACACCCCTGTCTTAGAGTGACAGTGCTCACTGACTGTACTATATCTAGAACTGTGTTGTCACCCTAGCACAGGAAATGTTCTAGGGTACAGATCAGGGTTGGACCGACCATTTGGAAACTCGGGCACTGTCCTAGGGCCCGGGATAAGTAGGGGGCCCCATGAGATGCCCCTGGTACCTTTTTCATAGGCTTTTTTGAGTGTGGGCAAGGACACAGGGGCCCCATGATCCCCTATTGCCCGAGGGTCCCATGAGTGGTCAGCACGCCCCTGGTACTGATCTTCACTGTAACATAAGTTTTGGTGTAGTCCACAGAGATGAACTGGGCAAAGCTGAAATACTGGATACGATTTCATTGTAGCAGGAGCAGAGTGCACAGGAAGATACAAGCTCACTGGGTTTTTGTAATATACAGTCAGGTCCATAAATATTGGGACATCAACACAATTCTAACATTTTGGGCTCTATACACCACCACAATGGATTTGAAATGAAACAAACAAGATGTGCTTTAACTGCAGACTGTCAGCTTTTATTTGAGGGTATTTACATCCAAATCAGGTGAACGGTGTAGGAATTACAACAGTTTGCATATGTGCCTCCCACTTGTTAAGGGACCAAAAGTAATGGGACGATTGGCTTCTCAGCTGTTCCATGGCCAGGTGTGTGTTATTCCCTCATTATCCCAATTACAATGAGCAGATAAAAGGTCCAGAGTTCATTTCAAGTGTGCTATTTGCATTTGGAATCTGTTGCTGTCAACTCTCAAGATGAGATCCAAAGAGCTGTCACTATCAGTGAAGCAAGCCATCATTAGGCTGAAAAAACAAAACAAACCCATCAGAGAGATAGCAAAAACATTAGGCGTGGCCAAAACAACTGTTTGGAACATTCTTAAAAAGAAGGAATGCGCCGCTGAGCTCAGCAACACCAAAAGACCCGGAAGACAATGGAAAACAATTGTGGTGGGTGACTGAAGAATTCTTTCCCTGGTGAAGAAAACACCCTTCACAACAGGTTGGCCAGATCAAGAACACTCTCCAGGAGGTAGGTGTATGTGTGTCAAAGTCACCAATCAAGAGAAGACTTCACCAGAGTGAATACAGAGGGTTCACCACAAGATGTAAACCATTGGTGAGCCTCAAAAACAGGAAGGCCAGATTAGAGTTTGCCAAACGACATCTAAAAAAGACTTCACAGTTCTGGAACAACATCCTATGGACAGATGAGACCAAGATCAACTTGTACCAGAGTGATGGGAAGAGAAGAGTATGGAGAAGGAAAGGAACTGCTCATGATCCTAAGCATACCACCTCATCAGTGAAGCATGGTGGTGGTAGTGTCATGGCGTGGGCATGTATGGCTGCCAATGGAACTGGTTCTCTTGTATTTATTGATGATGTGACTGCTGACAAAAACAGCAGGATGAATTCAGAAGTGTTTCGGGCAATATTATCTGCTCATATTCAGCCAAATGCTTCACAACTCATTGGACGCCGCTTCACAGTGCAGAGGGACAATGACCCAAAGCAGACTGCAAAAGCAACCAAAGAGTTTTTTTAAGGGAAAGAAGTGGAATGTTATGCAATGGCCAAGTCAATCACCTGACCTGAATCCGATTGAGCATGCATTTCACTTTCTGAAGACAAAACTGAAGGGAAAATGCCCCAAGAACAAGCAGGAACTGAAGACAGTTGCAGTAGCAGCCTGGCAGAGCATCACCAGGGATGAAACCCAGCGTCTGGTGATGTCTATGCATTCCAGACTTCAGGCTGTCATTGACTGCAAAGGATTTGCAACCAAGTATTAAACAGTGAAAGTTTGATTTATGATTATTATTCTGTCCCATTACTTTTGGTCCCTTAACAAGTGGGAGGCACATATGCAAACTGATGTAATTCCTACACCGTTCACCTGATTTGGATGTAAATACCCTCAAATTAAAGCCAACAGTCTGCAGTTAAAGCACATCTTGTTTGTTACATTTCAAATCCATTGTGGTGGTGTATAGAGCCAAAAATTTTAGAATTGTGTCGATGTCCCAATATTTATGGACCTGACTGTACAAGCAGGTATTATTTCCGCTTATCTCATATATACAAGCATACCTCGGTTTATGAACGCCTCGGTTAATGTAATTTTCAGTTTACTAATGAAAATCCATTGAAAATAATGCCTCGGTTTACAAATTCTTTTTGCAATATGAACTGATTGTTTTTCAATGCATTTACAAATGTTTTTTAATCATGCCCCTGTACAGTAC